AATGATAATAAAATATTTTTTTAAAGACTCAAAGTAATAAATATTTAAGTGCTGACTTTAGAGATAATCTGTATTTTAATGAACAACATCTTGCTCAAAATTCTACATCCACCTCCCCGTGTGTGAGCAGGGAGCATCAGACTTAGCTGGTTAAGAAGGGATATTTATTCTACTTAACATCTGTTAAAACGTCCACATATTATTTTGTTAATTCACTGAAATGTCTCATAAATCTTCCGCTAAAATGTCCACAAACCTTCCGATAAAACGTCCATCTTTTTCCTGTTAGGTGTCCTGTCAATCCTATAAAATGTCCAAGACCGTTTTTAGCAGTTTACTTGGGATCAATTTAAACAAACTATAGTTGTCTGTAAATATTTTTTTTCTAATTCTCCTCCCCTTACCGGTACACCATTCCCATCAATCCTAAACCAACCACCTTTAAAAAGTTCTGAATTTGGAAACGTGAGAAGAAACCGGTTGAAGAAAAAAGTTTTGAAATATCTAGAGGTCTTCCAAAATGGAAGATTTATTTGCTTATTATAATAATATTAATTTACACACGGTTTTGGCCTTGAAAAAAAAATCCTGGTTGATTGATTGATTTATTTATTTTGCAAAATCACAAGTACGTTTGTTATTTCTTTTTATTTTTTAAATGTGTAATTTTAGCTAGTTATTATGCTTACATGTATCTGAAAATTTCGTGCATTATATTAATAAATGTTGTAAGTTTCGAGAGTCTCTACACTGTTAATTAAAAACCGTAGATGAGATTTATTTTTAAAAAGTCAATATCTTGAAGTGATAAAAGATTTAAAAAGAATATATTTTACTCAATGTACTATTCTGTAAAAAATTTATGATTAACAACCTTTTTTTTAATGTTATTTTACTTTTAAAAAAAAATAAATAAACTAAAACAAAGTGACGCGATACGAGTTAAAGCAGTGCATCCGCATTTTTTGTTAATAAAGCTTAAAGATCAATTGATTGTTCTTTGTTAGAACTGCATTGGATTGACTGAAATATTTAGGGTACAATTCAGTTAAAAAGAATACACAACTGTTTATTAGTCAACTAGGCTCTCGGAAAAAGAGGGTCTTCGTCTAGAAATCTTATTATGCCCTTAGGTTACAATGCCGCAAAACTATAAAGGCTACAAAAGCCGATGATCTTCCTCTTAACGAGGGTTATTTAGGTGGGTACATGGGATGTCAGAACAATGTACGAAACAGAAGAACGCAGAAACTGCATGGATATCAAACTATCATATAGCACTGCTGAAAAAACATGGAACAAGATGGTTGCAATTTGAAGAAATAAAACTGAGTTCAGGAGAAATGGGGATGTATTCAGTACATGAGGTGCCCACCTACGAAAGGAGTAACACTCCTGTTATCAAAAACAGCACAGGATGCAAATCGATGGATAGGAATTGCATGGGTCCAGAAGTTGACATGAATGTTATCCAGTGTTACACACCAGCGAATGACAGCGACGATGAGGTATACAACCGACTACAGGCTGTTATTGACAGTTATCAAGAAGGAAATATTATAAAAGATAGTGATGGGAGATCTAGCTGAGTGGAAAGGTAGGTAATGATAACACGGGGAATACAGGTAATCAGGCAATGATAACACGGAGTATAGATATAATTAGGTAATGATAACACAGGGTATAGAGATAATTAGGTAATGATAACACGGGGTATAGAGATATAATTAGGTAATGATAACACAGGGTATAAACAGGTAATTAGGTGATAACACGGGGTATAAAGATATAATTAGGTAATGATAACACGGGGTATAAAGATGTTATTAGGTAATGATAACACGGGGTATAAAGATATAATTAGGTAATGATAACTCGGGATATAAAGATATAAATAGGTAATGATAACACAGGGTATAAACATGTAATTAGGTAATGATAACTCGGGATATAAAGATAGAACTAGGTAATGATAACACGGGGTATAAAGATATAATTAGGTAATGATAACACGGGATATAAAGATATAATTAGGTAATGATAACACGGGATATAAAGAGGTAATTAGGTAATGATAATACTGGATATAAAGAGGTAATTAGGTATTGAAGGGGTAAAAAGAGGTTATTCAGTAATGATAACGCGATTTAAAGTGGTAATGATAACACGGAGAATAAACAGGTAATGAGGTTATAATAACAAGGGGTATAAAGAGATAATGATAACACGGGGTATAAAGATATAATTAGGTAATGATAATACGGGGTATAAACAGGTAATTAGGTTATGATAACACGGGGTATAAACAGGTAATTAGGTAATGATAACACGGGGTATAAAGATATAATTATGTAATGATAACACGGGGTATAAAGATGTAATTAGGTAATATATTCTTCATATTCCGTGTTATCATTACCTAATCATATCTTTATATCCCGTGTTATCATTACCTAATTATATCTTTATACCCCGTGTTATTACCACCTAATTATATCTTTATATCCCGTGTTATCATTTCCTAATTACATTTTCATATCCCGAGTTATCATTACCTAATTACAGCTTTATACCCCGTGTTATCATTACCTAATTATATCTTTATACCCCGTGTTATCACCACCTAATTATCTCTATACCCTGTGTTATCATTACCTAATTATATCTATACCCCGTGTTATCATTACCTAATTATCTCTATACCCCGTGTTATCATTACCTAATTACCTGTTTATACCCCGTGTTATCATTACCTAATTATATCTTTATACCCCGTGTTATCATTACCTAATTACCTGTTTATACCCCGTGTTATCATTGCCTAATTATATCTTTATACCCCGTGTTATCATTACCTAATTACCTGTTTATACCCCGTGTTATCATTACCTAATTACCTGTTTATACCCCGTGTTATCATTACCTAATTATATCTTTATACCCCGTGTTATCATTACCTAATTATATCTTTATACCCCGTGTTATCATTACCTAATTATATCTTTATACCCCGTGTAATCATTACCTAATTATATCTTTATACCCCGTGTTATCATTACCTAATTACATCTTTATACCCTGTGTTATCATTACCTAATTATATCTTTATACCCCGTGTTATCACCAACTAATTATCTCTATACCCCGTGTTATCATTACCTAATTATATCTTTATACCCCGTATTATCATTACCTAATTACATCTTTATACCCCGTGTTATCAGTACCTTATTATATCTTTATACCCCGTGTTATCATTACCTAATTACATCTTTATACCCCGTGTTATCATTACCTAATTACATCTTTATACCCCGTGTTATCAGTACTTAATTACATCTTTATGCCCCGTGTTATCATTACTTGATTATATCTTTATACCCCGTGTTATCATTACCTAATTATATCTTTATACCCCGTGTTATCACCACCTAATTATCTCTATACCCCGTGTTATCATTACCTAATTATATCTTTATACCCCGTGTTATCATTACCTAATTACCTCTTTATACCCCGTGTTATCATTACCTAATTATATCTTTATATCCCGTGTTATCATTACCTAATAACCTGTTTATACCCCGTGTTATCATTACTTAATTACATCTTTATACCCCGTGTTATCATTACCTAATTATATCTTTATACCCCGTGTTATCATTACCTAATTACCTGTTTATACCCCGTGTTATCATTACCTAATTACATCTTTATACCCGGTGTTATCATTACTTAATTATATCTTTATACCCCGTGTTATCATTACCTAATTACCTGTTTATACCCCGTATTATCATAACCTAATTACCTGTTTATACCCCGTATTATCATTACCTAATTATATCTTTATACTCCGTGTTATCATTATCTCTTTATACCCCTTGTTATTATAACCTCATTACCTGTTTATTCTCCGTGTTATCATTACCACTTTAAATCGCGTTATCATTACTGAATAACCTCTTTTTACCCCTTCAATACCTAATTACCTCTTTATATCCAGTGTTATCATTACCTAATTACCTCTTTATATCCAGTGTTATCATTACCTAATTATATCTTTATATCCCGTGTTATCATTACCTAATTACCTCTTTATATCCAGTGTTATCATTACCTAATTACCTCTTTATATCCAGTGTTATCATTACCTAATTACCTCTTTATATCCAGTGTTATCATTACCTAATTACCTCTTTATATCCAGTGTTATCATTACCTAATTACCTCTTTATATCCAGTGTTATCATTACCTAATTACCTCTTTATATCCAGTGTTATCATTACCTAATTACCTCTTTATATCCCGTGTTATCATTACCTAATTATATCTTTATATCCCGTGTTATCATTACCTAATTATATCTTTATATCCCGTGTTATCATTAGGTAATGATAACATCGTGAAATTGCAGTTATTAGGAATAGTAGAAGGAGGACTAGCAGAACAATATATATGTAATAGACGGGGAAAATCCATTAAATCGGAAAAATATAGTTCTAATATAATTACGATGTTCATGGATTGACAGAAAGGGTCTCAAAGGTTATTCAAAATACTATCAAAGATAGATTTTAACAATAAAAATATATCGTATACAGGTGTACACATTTAATTAATTCTTTTTCATTTTCTTTGTCGTTAAGCAGCTTTCTACCCCCATGAAAAATTGTAAGGCAATATGATATAACATAATATGAGTGAACAGAAGTCATCGTTGTTCCTTCAATCGAGGAAATGCTTGCAAATGAAATGTTCAATAAATTTATGATATGCTAAATAAATGTTCTGAATTTTTAATTGATCACAAATTAACCAATGCACTTAGACTTTTTAATCTGGACGCAGATCATTTTAACTGCATAAAAATACAAATCTTCAGTGTTCACTGTAAACAAAGTCCTTAAAGAAGGACGGAAACATCTTAAGCATACACAGAAAACTATGTCACAACAAGGCACGGAGAATAGGAGATTTCCGTTAAAACCTCAAATCTTTATTGTCCATCGTTTCTGACAAGGAAGAAAATATGTGTACATGATGGGGTACTCTTCTCTAGCACGTTAGTGTCTCTAAGTCTAATATGTGTACGTGATGGGGTACTCTTCTCTAGCACGTTAGTGTCTCTAAGTCTAATATGTGTACGTGATGGGGTACTCATCTCTAGCACGTTAGTGTCTCTAAGTCTAATATGTGTACGTGATGGGGTACTCTTCTCTAGCACGTTAGTGTCTCTAAGTCTAATATGTGTACGTGATGGGGTACTCATCTCTAGCACGTTAGTGTCTCTAAGTCTAATATGTGTACGTGATGGGGTACTCATCTCTAGCACGTTAGTGTCTCTAAGTCTAATATGTGTACGTGATGGGGTACTCATCTCTAGCACGTTAGTGTCTCTAAGTCTAATATGTGTACGTGATGGGGTACTCTTCTCTAGCACGTTAGTGTCTCTAAGTCTAATATGTGTACGTGATGGGGTACTCATCTCTAGCACGTTAGTGTCTCTAAGTCTAATATGTGTACGTGATGGGGTACTCATCTCTAGCACGTTAGTGTCTCTAAGTCTAATATGTGTACGTGATGGGGTACTCTTCTCTAGCACGTTAGTGTCTCTAAGTCTAATATGTGTACGTGATGGGGTACTCTTCTCTAGCACGTTAGTGTCTCTAAGTCTAATATGTGTACGTGATGGGGTACTCTTCTCTAGCACGTTAGTGTCTCTAAGTCTAATATGTGTACGTGATGGGGTACTCTTCTCTAGCACGTTAGTGTCTCTAAGTCTAATATGTGTACATGATGGGGTACTCATCTCTAGCACGTTAGTGTCTCTAAGTCTAAAGTGATATAGCTTGTATATCTGTTCCATTCATCCTAATTAAAAAAATGTTTGACAAATATCTATTGTTTACATGAGTTTCAAAACGTTAATAAATTATTTTTTCTTTAAAGAAAAAAAAAACATGTACAGAAGGTTCTTTGATAAATCTTGTTTTTATTGCGTTTAATGCCTTTTCGTTTCTAGATAAATGACATAAACAATCATAATTATCGTTGAATAAAGCACTTCTGGATAAGATTTTTTTTTTCTAAACTTAATACTTTATTCAATTATGAATACGGAAATCATAACTTCACACAAAGAAAAAAAATCAATTCAGGGAGTCAATTCTGGTGAAAACTTATGTTTCCAGTGTTCATACTTTTTTTTTGGGGGGGGGGGAGGGGGGATTAGAGAGTGTAATTTGCAATTTTTAAGTACATATTTTAATCATTAAAGTCTTAAGTAATTAGGTTGCTTTTCCAAAATGTTTTAACAAAGTTATTTATTATCTATTTATTGATTAATTAATTAAATTATTATTTGTTTGGGTTTTTTTTTTCAAATGTTTCTTTATTCATAAACATTTTATTAGTAATGATTTTAAGAGTGTATTCAATTGTACTGATCATTTTACAGTCAAAAAGGTAAATCGTCTTTTTTTTTTCCTTTTGTTCTTGGCATTCTGTTCCACTGCTTGTTATCAATTTACAAGTTGATCAAGTGCTTGGTATAAATAGTGTTTCTTTGTGAGTATTAGTTATTATCCTCAATATTTATATATACATGTAACGTGTAGAAACATTTGTATACTGCTTCTGTAACTGTTTGCAGTATTAATACAATAATGGAGATTATGTCATTTTGTGGAAATTTCCATCACATAAGGAAGAAAAATCAAGTTTATCAAGCCACTTAGATTTACTTTACTATCATGAATAAATCATTATTTTACAGACCTAAACATCAACACACGGAGAGTGATCTGCACTCAGCATAAATTGCAGTTTCCGGAATATATATTTTAGGGGAGAGGAGGGAGGTGACAAAATCAGATAAATCTGCTTATATCAAGTAGACTATTAACCCCCCCCCCTCTTTTTTATATTGCTTTGTTTCGGTCTGGTTGTGTATGTGGGCGTTTTTTGTTGTATGTTTTGTTTTCTGCATGTTTTTTTTCTGTTTGTTATTAGTTTGTCTTAAGTTATAATTGAATTAATTTATTGCATATAAGATTTTGTCTGTTTGCTGTCTGTTTGCTGTTTATCGTCCCTCTCGATAATTTTTCACTCATATGTAGACGCCGCCACTTGCCGGTAAAGAGCTGCAAATTTAGACCTATACTGGGCATTCAGGGCCATTGAGCAGTGGGGGATCTTTTTTTGTGACAGCATCTACTACTACATGGGGCCTCTGTTTATACATATAAGTTTAAAAACATAATGATATCAGTGATCGATCTCAAAGATCTAGAAGAAATATAAAAATCTAAACAGATCTAAAGCGTATGAAATGGACCCCTGTAAATTCCAGATGTGGGATCAAGTACCAAGGAGTAAAAAGCATCCCCAATCGACTGCCATGCACAATCACGATTGCCATGAATCCTATGCATTGAGCAGTTAGATGGAATAAACTGCAGTCAAATTGTGTAACAAACAAAAAGGCCTACCAATTAGTATGAAATATATCAGTGAAAATACGACCCAATGACAGGTTGTATTTGCTAACAAGGTCTGTGACGGTACATATTGTCGTTTTGTACATATTGTCGTCGGCGACAATATGTACCTACCCTCACTGCACATATTGTCGTCCATCGGAACATATTGTCGCTAGCTGAAAAGTTACACATGTACATATTGTCGCTGGCGACATTATGTGCCTCACCCTCACTGTGCATATTGTCGCCCCACAGATATTGTTGCTTGAAGATTTCTTTTGTTGTTTTTTGGTAGTTTTGTGAATGTAATTGGTTTGTGAATCACACTGATGTGTCTCGTATGGTATTTCATGCAGCCTGATTGTGACGGTACATTTTGTCGTCCTGTTCATATTGTCGCCGGCGACAATGTGTACCTACCCTGACTGCGCATATTGTCGTCCATCAGATCATGTCGCATGACAATGCACGGCAATGTTCAATATAAATATGACTAATCGTTGCTTAGCTGTTTTTGAGAAGATAATTTTCAAAGAATGTTCTCGTATATTCTCATGTTAAAATTTGATCGCGCAATGTGGCCCCACCCTAAGCCCGGTTTGATTTCAAGATACTTGAATCTGCGCTACCTGAGGATGCTTCCATATAAACATCACTAATCACGGACCTACTGCTGTTCCTCAGTGGTGGATCCAGAAATTTCTGAACGGAAGGGGGGCGGGGGCGGTTCAGATTTTTTTTTTTTTACAAGCGAAAAAGAGTCATTTGTATGTAAGGATGTGTTACTATATATGTTGAGTAAATTATTTAATTATGAAATTTTACCTGTGGACTAAATTGAGAGTATATACAAGTTAAATAAACAAAATTTAACAAAGCAAAAAAAAAAAAAAATAAATAATCAAACCACCGGGGGGGGGGGGGGGGGGTGCTACATCTGTCTGGTTTATGAGAAGATTATTTAAAAGATTTTCTGTATATATTCCTATGTAAAACTTTGATCACCCATTGTGGCCCTAACCTACCCCTGGGGTCATGATTTGAACAAAATTGATTTTGTTTTTGTTTGTTGTTATAATGTCCATCTCAAGAATTTATCATTCGTATGTAGACATCACCACTTGCCGGTGGAGGGCTGCAAATTTAGACCTATACTTGGCACTCAGGGTCATTGAGCAGTGAAGGATCTTTTTCGCGCCAGCACCTCAAAATTGAATGTACGCTATGTAATGAAACTTTCACATTAGTATCATCTCCTCTGACTCAGTAGTTCTTGATTTTTTTTTCTAAACATTAGAAATGAAAAACTTTGATCACCTCTTGTAGCTACACCCTTCCTCCGAGGGACATGATCTAAAAAAAAACAAACTGAATCTACACTTTATAATGAAGCTTTCGCATAAATTTGAACTTTTCTGACGCAGCGGTTCTTGAGATGATTTTTAAGAGATGTCAGTAAATTTTCACTAATTCTTAACTACTTCCCTTGAAAGAGGGCATGACCCTTCATTTGAACAAACTTGAATCCCCTTTTTCCACGGATGCCTTGTGGCAAGTTTTGTTGAAATTGACCCAGTAGTTCGTGAGAAGCTTATATTGTGAAAAGTTTACGGACAGAGAGACGGTCAGATCAAATGTGATCAGAAAAGATCACTTGGACTTCCAGTTCAGGTGATCCAAAATGTCAACACCAATTATATCGGCACATGAATGTATATAAGAATAACGCAAAAAAATGATTTCCAAATAATCATAACTACTGAACAAAAAAAACAAATACATGTAATCAATCTCCAAGTATGTTTTACAAGAAAAAAGAATAGGCTGAATTATCAGATATCTCAAGAATTACGGTTTCTTGACATACCATAATGATGTACATCAATCTTGGACACAATTTTCTGACTAAAAAGTTTTCTCTCTACAATATTGCGAGTAATGCTGTTTGTCTCCCTCTATGCGTGTGTGTGTGTTTGTCAATCTCTCTTTCCTTTCTCAAGTAAATATTCGTCAAAACAATATATCGACGACAATATATGCAGACCTTGACTGTACATATTGTCGCCGACGACAATATGTGCTGGTGCTTGACTGTACATTTTGTCGTCCATTATGCAGGAGGAAAATAAGGCTCGTCTCGGTACATATTGTCGCCGGCGACAATATGTACCGATGGACGACAATATGTGCAGTGAGGGTAGGTACATATTGTCGCCGACGACAATATGTACAAAACGACAATATGTACCGTCACAAGGTCATTATAACAACCAGAGAATTAACGAAATGCCGACTCCAAGAGAGGGTGTCGAAATCTTGTAACAGCAACTTACTTGTCAGTAGACTTTCTTGATTTAAATATTGATCGTATTCAGAGCATTCTCTTAAGTATAGAATAAAGTGGGAGACAAGAATACAATATGCAGGTGATAATGCAATAATAAAAAGGAAAAGTTGACGATGGAAAAGCTGAAGTCATTTCGTCTTATTGTTAGTTAGCCATATCATCCCTAGTGGGTAAAACATCCAAACATAAAGCGGATATGAGAGACTAAGTTGTTTCTTTTATTTCTAGTACACTCGGATATATTGAGTGGACATCTGGATGTTAGTAATTATTAAAGTTGCATAATGAGTCAAAACCATGTGTTTCTTTTAAGAAAATTGTATCACAAAACAAAAGATTTCTGTGAAATATGAATATAGCGAAGTTTTGACAACTCAACTGCACTGTAGAGCAAGAAAACACTGCAAAATATAAGTGCCGGAAAAACAAATGTTGTATCTATCGCTTTGTTTTTATCGTCAATGCCAACAATGTCAAGGTCACGCGTCCTTTATTTTTAGCGTGAAACTTGTAAACAACATTGAATTGGGGCAAGCAGAAGTAAGGAATAAGTTATGATAATCTTTTTTGAAGATTGTATCAAAATTCTCAGTCATCCGACATTTATATCTATGGAATTGAAACCATGGAAAATTCTTCAACTTTTCAGCGCATGCGTACAATAAAGAGGAAGAAGTGAAGCAATATTTTTGTGATGGGTTATACATGTACAAAGATTTTTTTTACTTTTATTTTTCTCCATTAAATTAGATTTTTTAAGTTCTGAAACCTGTAATTTTCTGAAACCTAATATCTTCAAGAACTGAACAAAATTTGCATGTATCATACAAAAATTCTACTGTTGTCAATTTTCCCGTTTGTCCGTCACAGTGTCACTTTAATTGATAACACGTCGACAATGTATCTGAATGTCGAGTTGAAGGCCAGAGCAATTGTTCACTTCTCATGTAGAAGTTTTTGATATAAAAAAAAAATCTGCTTCACAGAAATATGAAAGCAGGACGACCAATAAAGGAGCACAATTAATTCCCATCGAAA